ACTCACGCCTGTGGAAAACCTGAATCCCACGTTGCGCATTTTGTCAACATTCATTTAGATATGTAGTTGTTGACATAATTAAATCAAAGTTTAAAAGTTCATATTTTCCTTACTTTTTTATTAGAAAGTTTGTATTTTAGTCAAGTTTTGGTAATTTACATACTTCGAGTATTCAGAACTTTTTTCGGTAATTTTTGTCATATTTGTTTATTATTACTAAGTTTTGTGATTTTATTTTGTCTCTTGCATTCACTTCTTGAAAAAAAAAAAAAAAAGTTTTGTGAGTTATATATGTTACCTATGTATAGGGTGGTTTGTTATCTTATGTTACCTACGAATTCTCCAATTATATGATGCAAATTAAATGTTAAGCACCTATAAGTGGTGATTGTCAACTAATCTTCATCCTCCTTTTTGATTCTGCAAGCCCATTAATCGTAGGCGCACTATGGGGACATTTTACTTTTCTTTCCCCGGCGGTCTACCTCATGATTTGCCTCCGTTCCGTCCAGTTCGAGTAAAATGTCAAGCCACTGATGTGACTGCTTCAGCCAAGAGGTCGGAGGAGTTTGTGGGCTGGCCGGGTAGGACTTCTGAACACTTTTCTTTCAGGATAGACCATTGGAAGACATTTTTCAAGTGATTATTTTCGAAAAGTTTGTAATTCAAAAACAATCAAAAGAAGATAGAGTTGGGTGAAAAAAATTACGTGCTTCATACAAATGAGGAACTAGAAAAGGGCAAGCGCAAAATGCAAGGGGACTCTATAGTTTTCACTTTTCCCCTAGTAGTGCCAAAGAGAAACCTCTTGGCACCAAAATTTTAACCGTCACTCTTAATAGAAGTCGTGTTTCACTCATTGAAATTCATTAACTTGTGAGTAGTTTTGTACCAACCAATGACAGTCGCACTTGCAATCTCTCTCCATTCGCCAATCATTTCCTCTGAAGAAAATTAGACATGTGTTGGCTTGATTTCAAATCAAAAAATTTATTTCACAAATTTTAATCACCTTTTTATTTTTTTAATAATTTTTTTATTTCACATACATCACATCACAAAAAATAGTACAATAATTATCTCAAATAAATCATACAAATAAATTCTTATTCAAACAAACTCGTAATTTCTCTCTCAAAGTTAAGAAAAATGAAAAAGCCATAAACATCACTTCAGATCCTCGGTGACATTATTTGGACATGCAGCAACATAGTCAGTTACGAAATTATTGACAGTCACGACTATCCTCGGAGTTGTCGAAAGGACCCACCCACGCGCTTGCAAACAGTTATGTACTAACCAATTCCTCCCCGTCCGTCTATAGCAAATTAAGGCGGACACGTGTAATTTCTCTCTGAATTTGGCAAAATCGATAAAAAGAAAATCGTTAGACGTTACTAGCCGTGCATTTCATAATAGTCTACCCGGCAAATTTCTACCAATAATGCCCAATATTTTTTTAATTTAGAATGGAAATAATTATTATTACAAAAAATGAAAAATAATACTCATAAAAAATATTTCACTTTCATTTTTCCTTGTTTGTCCTTATTAATAATTCCTTTTAATGTTTAAATATATTGGTATTTTCTTTTTAAAATGTTTGAACATTTGAGAATTATCATAGAATCTATAGAATTTATTTAGTAAAAATAACTTATATAATTTCCATATTTACATGCAATTGTAATAGTTATAATTGGTTATAAAATATTAAAGTCTTATAAATAATATTCATAAATACCAAAAATAAATATGATTCATTAATCCACATTTGTAATATGATCCTATCTATGTTTATAGATATTGAGTTGATATTAAGTCTCCAGTAGCAAGTGACCTAACAAATTACACATAAAAGTAAACAAAATTGAAAAAAGGTTGCGAACTGATCTAATAGAATTAAATTTAAAATAAACTTTGTGTTTTAAAATAGAACCTAAACCTTGTTAGTGACCTTTGATCAATGATGAATCAATAGTTAGGATAAAAAGTTTACAATTATAAAACAAAATGTAATATAGAATCTAATCCATGTTACTAGTCGTTGATCGATAATCAATTATAAAACAAAATTTAATAAAGAATCTAATCCATGTTACTAGTCGTCGATCGATAATAAATCAATGAATAGGACAAAAAAGATTTTCAATTTTAAAACCTAAATGTCATTACCAGTTGTTGATCACTGACCGATCTAAAAAGAAAAACAAAACTTTGTGTCATTACATCCAATCAGATGGCAACTGCTGGAAATTGAAAAAAAAAAAATCCCTTCACAGCATCCAAATCGGATCCTGCAATGGTATGAAATAATAAAAAAAAAAACCTTTTCCCTGTAAAAAAAAGAAATATCTCACGAAGTTTTGACACATTATAAAAAAAAAGTGAAAAGGATTCATGGTGATCACATTTTAGATATGTATATGTGGGGAAGAGATTTCCACTAAACATTAAAAAATGTGACATTGAAATGAGCATTATTGATAGAAATTTGTCAGTCCACCAGCTAAAGTTTTCCAAAGCAATAATTGATAGAGGGCACGTTAAACTTTAATATTCAAAGAATAATCAAGTAATATTAATAGAGGGCAAAGTTTATTGCCCATCATTGTACGGCAAAGTTTTCCAAAGTCCTTGTCATGGACGACTGACGGAACAACTTTCACCGCGCAGCTCAAAGTTAGACCACTGCAAAACTTGTGATCCACAATTATTTCCAGTGCGGCCACTGTTTAGGTGGACCGAGAAGAAGCGTTACAAAAAAAAAAAAAAAAAAAAAAAACAGAGAGATAGAGAGTTTGCTTGAATAATAAAAAATTCAGTTTGTTTTGAAGTCGTAAATGTAATCAATGGGTAAAAGGCGGTGGCGGGCTAATAAAAATGGCAGTTAACGTCGGTAATTTGGGGTTGTACAGCAACAGCAGTTTATGCATATTGTCGAGATTCAGTTTATGCAATCGGCCCTCGACTGTTTGTCGCGCGGATTTCCATGTTCATGCATTAGCACGCTTGACCCTTAGATATTGTTTAGGCTTCAATATTTTCATTTGGATGGAGGAAATTTTTTACATGTTTTTCGACCATTCATATACACATAAATGGGATGAATCCCACCAGTCGACTTGCCAAGGAAGATAATTCGTCCGGTTTGTCCTGTGATGACGTTCCTTCTGCCAACAAATTCTTATGGCCGTCGAAGGGTGTCCGGAAAAGGTCGCCGGTATTGCCCAGAAAGAAAGTTTGGTTGCCAGTAACCCGAATCCGCAGGATGGACGCCAGATTGATTTGATTTATGAATGAATAGAACCGAAACAGGGCAAAACGAGTACCTTTGTAGCAAGAAAATTAAAAGCACTTTGAAAACACACAAGGGCTGGGTAATTTGGGGTAAGATCAAAGATGAGTGCTGGGCATTTGTTAGGGTGATTGCATTCTGATGCATTCTATCTCAACTCGAGAAAACAACCCGTCTGCCAACCGCTTCCTTTGCAATCCCTTTCTTTTTTTCAGTGCCTCTGGTTCATATATATAGTAAATCACTTCTCGTGATAAGCGATCGAGTACAGGAATTTAGTTTGAATATTACTATTACTTCGTTGTTTTGAAGTGTCTCAAAGGAAATCAACGTGTACAAGGCGGTCGCTGCTCAACGTAGAAGGCAGTTAACGTCGGTTAATTGGAATCGTACACCAGTTTGATCGGCCTCTGCATGCTGTGTCTAGATTCAGCTTATTATTCAATCGGCCTTTGCCTCTTTTTTTTTTCCCCCTTGGCTGCTAATCACGTTGATAATTACCATTTTCGTGCGTCGAGAAAACTTCGGTTGTGTTTGGATTGCATTTTTCATAATTTTTCATGAAAAAATTACTGTAGCGATTTGATGTATGTAAGGGAAAAAAGTAATAGGAAAATGTGATCACGAAAAATGACGTAATTTTTTTGACGAAAAACAGCAATCTAAACAAGGCCGAAGCCCCCGTCCGTCCCATATGGTAATTGACCTAGTGGAAGTACGGTATCTGAGTGGGCTAAGTGGGTTAAGATCCTCTGCATTGAAATTGAAATTCTTTTTATTGGACTCTTCATTTGTTCATATCTCAATTTATATAATTGAAATTCTTTCAATTGGTCTCTCCATGTATTCATATCTCAATTTATATAATATTATAAAATTATGCGATTGTGTCATTATATTTCTTTTGATATCTAAATCAAAAATATTTGTTTGACATTCTACTTACATGAAGCATTTGAAGGGTGAAAATGGATCAAATTTGTGACAAAATTTGTAATGATTAATCAAACGGCAAAACTTGCTCAATTTCATATAAAATTTTACTTATAACTAATACAAGTAATAAATAAATAATTTTTAGATTAATTTTATTAAGGTTTAATGGGAGAAGTTCTCTCAATCCAATGCAATGGAGAGGAGTCTAGCTTTGTCTAAGCCTTTCCTACCTGCAAGTTGCAAGTCTCTTCATCAGCTGAGGCAATTCCAACTCACCTCATGCCAGCGACCAAATAGGCAAAATTGCCCACATCACTTCGTTACTTCTCCTATCCGATCCTTCCAGAGTCCACCGGGGGGGGGGGGGGGACACAATCCATGTCCGGCGGAGCTACATCACAATCACAAACTGACTAAACAAATTTGTCTTAATATGGCTAGTCTATTAGCCGAACACCTCAGTTTTGATGTTAGGATGATAGTATTTTAACAGTGCATACATTGAATTACGTATAATTTGACATAAATTTCTTTTTGGCAGGCATTAAGGATTTGTTAGGAGCAGACATTCTAGGGGTTTTGATTTCTTGTTAATGGGCATTTGCCTTCCCTTGGATCAACCAATCAAAAAAGGAAGAATAAACCTACGTGTTAGTGCCGTAGTTAATTTATCCTGCCTTTGGTTTAGTACGACAATGAATGTTTTCCTTGATTGTCGATTCATGACCAACCACGTACTGGAAAACTGAAGGGAGTTCGATTTGGGATTCAGCTCTTTTATTGATATGCAGACATGAGCAAAGTACAAAGATGGCGGTAGCATTCCACTTAGATTTGACCCCAAACCTCAACCATAACCTAATCGCTTCGATTACTTGAATGCACGCAGAAAGCACAGTGGAAGATTATTATTTGCACTAGGTGTAGAGCAGATGCGTACACCCAGGAACAGGGACGAACTTCTGATGATGGAGCTTGCTAACTTATACAAGAGGATCAAGTTCAGTTGCCCACTTATTTTTGGTCTTTCCTTCAGTCGATGAACCACCAGTACCATATAACTCCGTTGATGCCAGCCTTGTCGAATCAACGTAGTCAGGCGGACAATGTGCCGGTACGCCGCCAAATAAGAGGCATACAACTCTGAGCAATTGCATGAGACCAGTTTCCTTGTAATCAGACCCCCAAACGCATCCTTTTATGAAGCTTCTTATCAGTTCCCAAATAGAGTTTATGATCTTAGGTATGAGCCATAAGATCGAGAAGTAGTTCTTGTTTGGCGCTTCGTCAACAGTCTTGCAGCACAATCATAACACAAACAAATTAATCCAGTTAAAAAAAATGAAAAAAAAAAAAAAAGAAATCCGCTCTGATCAGTGATAGTTTGCAATATAGATAGAGAAACTAAAGAGAGGGAGGTGGATGGACGTGCTCACTTTGCCTTTGAAGAAGCTGTTGAAATACGCACACGTCCCAAAGTGTTTAAACTCAGTGACGGAGTTATCAGAGGGGACTCGGGGCACAATATCGTTGCAATAAACGGTCCTATAGTAATTAGGGAGCAAGTTATTGTTAATTTGGTCTTCCATGAACTTTCCAAACTGCTCATTTCCCACCCTTGGTTGCCCGAAAGTGTAGACCCCGTCCAATCGCTCCAACATCGACGTTTCCCCATGATACGCCAAAATTGCTGGAAACAGAATTGCTAGGGCACCGCCCAGGCTATGACCCGTGACTATGAATTTGGCCTTGTCATTCTTCTTCAAAAGCTCTTTCAGCTTTCCCCTAACAGTGTAGTAAGCATAGTCGTGGCCGCCAAATATTTGGATCAAGTTCTTGGGCCAACCCGTGAGCTTCTGCTGGCCGAGTGCTTTGAGGAATCCGGCATGCACCTTTCCCAACCCGGGGAACTCGTACCATGACAGATCAACGTCTGAAACCCAATCTAGAGTGTCGAAGGGCGAAGTGCCCCTGAAGGCCACCACGATCGTTTCCGTATCGGTGTTTTCATCTTTCCGGAACAAGAAACCTTGTGTTGTTGCTTTCTTTTGATAATCTGCCAAACAGGAAAGATTTTGCATGATAACAGTGGTCGTTACTGGGGAGTCGATCGACGATTATAAGCTAGGGATAATTTCAGGATATCTAACAATTTCACTGAGCCCCCTGAGATTTTGAAAATTACACATCCCTCCCTTAATTTGATAGCTTTAATAACAAAAGCTTAAAATAATATTGACTTGGTCAAATTTTTAAACGAATACCCAAAAATACTCTTGTGTAATAAGTTTTAATTTACTTCTCTATAGAATTATAAGATTATCTAATGTAATTATAAGGAAAAAGTGTCGAATTTTTTATATCCATACCTAATATTTGATAAACAACTATAATAATAATTTTATCACTATAATAAGATACTTTTGATGGTATTTAATTATGAATTTAGATTTATAAGATAGAAAATAAAATGTTGAAATGATTGATTTAGAGTTTATGAATTTTTGAGTAGTGGGATTATCATAATTCAGTAGTGATTTTGGGTATTTCCTTTTGATTTATTGTTAATTTTAATACCAAAAAAATAGAAAACAAAGATTAGCAAAAAAACATCGAATTACGTATAAAATTAACTCATAAAAAATTATTAGTTAGACATTTAGTTACAATAGAATCCAGATATAATAGTGATAATTTTATATTTTTTTGGCAAAAAATTAAAATAAAAAAGAATAAGAAGGAAAAACAATGAAAAAATAATTTTAAAGTCATTCTAAATATAAGCATACGAAACAAGGAAATCTTATTAAAATATTTAAGAATACTATTGTCATTTTAAATGATAATATAGGCATGTATAATTTTTCAAATCTCAAATAATCTCAATGAAATTGTCAGAAACCTCAGAATTATCCCTATAAACTAACACAAATATACTAGTTACTTGATAAGGCTTAGGACTTGGGTAGGAAATAATTACCGTTCCAGAAATCGTAAAACGCCACGAAATCCATCTGCCAAAGTTTTTTAAACCCGATTTCGTTAATTATCAGGATGCTGGACTTCAAAGAGGAAAAAAAAAAAAGGGAGAGGAAGAGAAAAAGATTAATGTCGTCATTACCTTCCAGTGGTCGGTGACGGTGGATTCAATAAAAGCCTTGTTCTCATAAGCAACTTTGGCAGCCATTATTGAGAGATGGGGATTATACCTACTATCCCCAGCTGCGATGTTCTCATCCAAATCTTGCCGCAAGTCCAGAAATGCTAGAACCGACAGGTACTTGGCCGATGTCTCGTCCGGGATGCCTATGACTTGACCTACAATTGAAAATGAAAACGAATTGAAACTGAGTCTTGATTGGATCGAAAGAGCCACTGTAATGGCTCAAGTTTGGTGGTCTAATGATTACAAGCTGCAGAATACAAGAAGATTAGTGATATACTGGTGCTGCAAAATAGAGAGAATTTAAAATCTTTAGTTCTTCACAGATAGATTGTACACTTTAATCACACATTTGGTCAAGAACGCTCTTGATTATCCGTCTATGCTATTTAGATCTAGCAGGCCATATTTCCAACTTTGTGCGACAACTTCTACACAAAATTTTAGGATCAGAAATTTCTTTTTGAACCTTCATGGTTTGTAATCATAATCAGATATTCTGGGTAATGTACTGTCGGTTCCAGGTGGCGGGGTGGGAATAATCATTACGATGGAAACTTTCCTATTTCTACAAATATTCTTTTTTCACTTCTGTTGAATATGATCTACAAAATCAGTAGAGACAAATCCCAAAATCAGGTGTCCTTTTGATCTTTTTTTTTTTTTTTTGGGGGGGGGGGGGGGGGGGGGAGGAGGGAGGGCATCGCCTTTTTTGCCATGATATCTCATTAGCATGCATCATAAATCCGTGAATCTACAGATACTGAACCGGATCTTTAGTTTATTCTCTTTTTTTTTTTCCCTTCTTAAATAAATGAGAGTCAACATAGCAAAATTATAAATTTTTCAATTACCTGTTGAAATCTTTTTCTTAGAAAATTATGTTTTTGGTTCATATTATTTTAAAAAGATCGGGTGCATTCCGTAGTAATCCAAATCGAAAGAGATGCGGAGGATCATGGGCCCTGATGTGGTTGTGACCTTATTCTGCAAGGCATTTGTACCGTGCACCGTTCGCTGACGTCAGATGTTCGAAGAACTGCCATGGCCGTCTCTAAATGATGAAATTATTATAGTAAGATGCTTGAATTGAATTACCCTTCAAGCATGATACCTTTCCCGTAATAAAGACTTAAAGAGACGTAAGCGGCCAGGAAAAAAAAAACAAAAAACAAAAAGAGAGAGAGAAAGAAAGAAAGATATCCATAGATCGATGCAGTACATCTAATGGAAGATATCCATGCATGCATAAATGCAAAAACATGAACAAGTGCAAAAACATGAATTATAATCAGCTCATGGACGACTTGAAATTCCCAAAGCCATATTCCCTAGCTATATATCAAAACAAAAGCTCATGAGTTGTCCAGAAAGGTTCTGCAGTGAGCAAAGTTGTAAACGTCAGTGGAAAGAAATGAAGAAGAATATAGAAGACGACGTAAGTAGTAAAGTAAAATCATTAACCGACGAGGGGATTAGTAGAGTCTACCAGTCACTAGGTTGTAGATGAGCACGAAGATGTTGGTATTCATGTGCAGCAGGTTAAGCCACTGCTCAAGCAAGTTCCCTAACCATGCCACGGGTTTTGCGACTAGTCGTAAAAGTATTTGCGCCACTACCGTAAGAAATATGATCCATCTAGGTGCAAAAGGCATCTTAGTCCCTTTGGGAACGTCCACAAATTTTCTGTTATATATGTTACTGGAGAACAGGAAGCAAACGAGATCGACGAGGCCAGCTTTCTCTGGACTTAGCAGCATATAATTGCTGCAAAATGACTTGTTGCAAGCCATTTTTTCCTGACCGAGATCAACCATTGAAGTAATTGATCAGAACTAGGATGATAAAATTGGTTCACTAGCTAGTACTAGTAGTTGGACTTGGAGAAAGCCTTGAATCTGCAAGACCCCTATATATAGAGAGGGAGCCATTAGTGTTTGCCCTGCTCAAGTTTTTTTTTTTCCTCTTTCTTTCTTCTTTTAGGTAATTATGCTCACGCACGTGGAGAACGTTTCCTACTGTTTCAGCTACTTATTTACATCGTTTCAGCTACCTGTTATTGATGATAATGTATGGTAAAATGAAAACTAACTCAACATCCATTTTCTTTCAATTGCACGACTTTACTAGGTCGGATGATATACCGCTTTTCCTGATAGAATTCCTCATCCACCAAAAAAGTAGAAAAAAAAAAGGATATGTGCCTCTCTTCCCTCAATTATATGGGGTTGTAGACACATCGAGTTGAGCCAGAAGCATCTACACTCACACAAATTATTGTCGTTGGCATCTAGAATAACTTCAATCGTGATCATGCATATTTTTTTGACGTTAAATGTATGCAAATTAGTAATCTTTTTTGGGAAAAATTTCAAATTCTTTTATTCAATACAATTAGAATGCTTTCTTTTCTAAATCAGAGTATTTCCTTTTGTATCCTGCCCAGTATACATTCTTCTATGCTTCTAACCGTGTGTAACATGATTCTGAAACTTCATGTCAAGATTTATTAAGTATATTTAGGAAATCAGGACTCATCAAATATTGAGGTATAGGTCAGTCAACTTTAAATAGAAAAGTAGATATTAAAAATCTTTCAAAAGTTTTGAATCATGTTTTAGGTTTAAAAGTTTCTTTAAAGCAAAAGGTGTTCATGAAAGAAACTCGAAAGCCAGTCATTAGAATTGGGTTAGGAATTAGGATTCTCTCCATTCATTGGATTTCTCTCCATTCATTTTTATCTAAATTATTATAAAATCATTCAATTATGTCATTACTTTTGCTTTGATTTCTATATCAGTTTATTAAAAAATAATATTCTTTTTAGATTATTTTAGTATTCAAATAGCATAACACATTTGAACCGTAAAAAAAATCGAGTCAAAATTGATATAAATTTTGTAATAATTAATCAGACAGCAAACTTTACTCAACTTCATACAAAATTTTAAGTAACACAAGTGACGAAATATATTATACTCCCTCCGTCCCACTTTGATAGTCCTGTATTCCTTTTTCTTCTGTCCCAAATTATAGTCCACTTTCCAATTGAAAATTGTAGTTGTATTTTAATTTTTTTAAAATATCCTTATTCAATGTAAGTAGTTGTTACTATAAACCTACTTCATTTAATGAGAGTTGATTCTTTTTTTACCATGAATTCAAGTTCCCATAAAGTTGTACCATATTTAATGTGAGGATATTTTAGGAAAATAGCAATCTAAATTTACTTTTCCAACAAAATTAACTACTTTTTCTTAAACTATGTGAAAAAAGAAACAGAACTATCAAAGTAGGATGGAGGGAGTAAATGATCTTAGTTTTTGAAAGTAATTTTTAAATTAATTTATTGTAATATAATGGAGAGAAATTTACTCCAATGCAATGGAAAGAAGCCCAGGCTTTTAGAATTATTTTTTCCTTTTTTTTAAAAAAAAATGTTGCTATCAGTAAGCAGACAAAATTTTGACATATTGGAAGGGCATCTTGCTTTATCTAATATATTCAATCAAGCGAAGTAATCCCACCGTGGATCAATAATTACAAGCGCGTGGATCAATAATTCTCTTGGATAGGACTTCTGCAAAAGCGACCATTGTATATACATCCTCTTGCCGCTAATTAGATTGAATCACACTTCTTTCAGTCATAAAAGGAAGAAAGATTCGATCGCACTTAATGTCCTTTTTTCATTTTTCGTTCAAAATGTTGAAGATCACAACTCAACAGTAAATGTTGTGCATCATCCTAGATCTACCCAATTAGTGGCAGAGTTAAGACCTATGGTTAGGGGCGCAATCATCAATGTATTGATTCGTAATGGAGTTAAATTTTCAGTATGGATGATCGAATATTGTTATACTTAAAATACACTATAGTGTAAAAATTTTTCACACTAACAGGTATAGATATATGACTCATGAACGAAATGTGAATTTAAAATTTGAATGATAATAGTGTGTCATTCATTTATACCTGCTCATGTAAAAAAAATATATTTTATACTGACAGTTTATAAAAATTAATCCCATACTTATATTGTTGTTTTAGATTTACTATTAACATCATAGTGGTATTAAACTAAAAAAGGATGAAATTTTTTTCATAAAGCGAATCTATGTAGAATTTTTATATATACAGAGATAATTTTAGAAATTTGAAGGAGGGGACATAAATAAATATTCAAACTTTGTAAATGGTAACATAAGGAACTTGACAGAACATGGGAATGGAAGGGGCAAATAAGTATTTTTAGAAAATTGAGAGGGTGAAAATAAAGTGTAAAAATGAAAATCCTACAAAATGTTGAGGCTAATTTACAATTTTATAAAACTTAAAGGGGGCAATTCGATATTTTTAAAGAATTTGAGGGAATGTAAATGAGGTGCAAAAGTGAAAAAAACTACAAAATATCAAATCTATTTTATAATTTCATAAAATTTGAGGGGGGGGGGACAATTGCCCATGGCTCCGCAAACTGTACCCACCTTGAATAAAATACGACCAATGTGGCGAGGGTGTGCTCCCGCCGCCCAGGGGGTTCGGGTCGCCCGTCGCACATCGAGAGAGATTGTGAAGCATTAATTTCTGGATTTAAGATTCATAGATGATCGATTTAGGTACTAATTGATTGAATCCAGTTATTTTATGGGTTCCTCTTAGATTGTCCGTTTGGACCGTTCTTTCGATTCTCATTGAGTGTTTAATCTAACTATGTGTGTTGTTGATTTTTGACTCGAGAAAAAAGAATAAAATACGGCCAAGAAAACTTCACACCCTTTGAAGAAAATAAAATACACCGGTTCAGTCATTAGTGGGAATTAAGAATCATATCCACTGGACACAATCCGACAAAAATCCAACAACCCCAATTCACTACTCGCTTTTTACGTGTTAACCTCCAAAATATATACTTGATGAAAAGAATAAAATAAAATAAGAAAATAACAAGGTTAGAGATTGACAAAAGAAGAGCATATCCAAACTGTTTTCGAATTCAATGATTGAAATATTTTGATCTCAAAAAGTTTAGAAAAGTGATATTTGCACTCTTAAATTAGTGTCTTGCACTTTTAGGAGCATATTAGTCAATGAATAGATTAGAGCGCAAGAGACTAAAATGGAAGTAGGAATATCAATTCCTATATTTTGAGGCTTTACATATATTGGGCATCCTAAACTAAAGTGCAATCAATGGACCGTAATTTATGAGGAGTACGTTTACAAATACAATTAAACGAAACGAATTTTCCTTCTTCCACCTAAGAAATTCCATCGAGTATGTTGGTACACGAGGATGAGCCAATTTGGAGAGGAAAAAAAAAGGGTATTGCAACCTCATGCAAGTATACACCGGAAAGGATAGAAGTTTGTGGAAAAGAGGAAAAAGAATATGTTCCCAAAGAAGGCGTGCTTTTTAATTTTAGGCACAGCGAAGGATTCTTTCAGTTCCTTCCTCCTCCTAATATGTTTGTTCGGTTCGTTTGCCAGCCGATCATCCTTGTGAGTTGTCAACAATCCTCCTCTCAATGAGTCAATTCTTCTGATGCCTGGCTTCCATCTTCACAATCCCTGGTAGCAGATATTGACAGAGACTTCTAAGGCTATAGCTACCATCAATGTTTTTAATCAAACGTGCGAAATGTTTTCCTTGCACAATTTATTTCAAAGGTGGGGGAAAAAACAAGAAAAGGAAATTAAGGTTTTTTGAATCAATGAAAACGCGATTTGGATGGGTTTGCTTTTCCTCCCTCCATCGTCCGACTATGGCGGCGATATCTCCACCAAGTGCAAAGCTGCCACCTGCAGCAGTAGTAGACAATTGTCCGTCAGCGAAATATGAGGATATGGTCTCTCTTTTTTTTTCCGAAGATGATAAATCTATTCTATCCTACACTAAAGGGGAGAGAGCGAACCTAAAGAGGTTTAGAAATAATCTGGAGAGGATTGAACCATCACTGGATCAGACGGATGCACAGTATATTTGTCTGAATTTTTTAGAAATAAATCACTTAGGTGATGGCCACCAGTCTAAAGGCGGATGGTTACGAGGACATGATCTCAGAACTCTGAGTTCTACTACTACTTGATGTGCTGCGTGCTCTTGTAAGCGAAGTCGTGAATTTCGTGTCAAAGTGTCATGCAATTCTTATGCTTCTCATGTCGAAGCGTCAATATAGCTTTCCTGTTTTTGTCGTTTTGGATGTTGTCTCTATTATAATATTCTTTCTTTTAAACGTTCCTTTTTTTTTTTTTTTTTTTGGGTGAATCCATGCGTGCATACAATTCTGTCAAGTTTTAAATCACGCAGGAGACACTACAATATATATGGGAAGATCGAGTTTTTGTTAAGACTGTTTGATAATCCAATTCAACACTTAAATATAATGAATTCATATTTTAATATAGTCAACTATGTTTGATAATAAAAAAATAAAATATTTAAATTAAATTATTAATTGATACTTAAATTAGACTTCAGAATACTATGTTTTATATGGTGTTTCAAGATTTAATTCACGTTTGTAATTACCAATACTCCTCATATAATACTAAAAAGATATGAACTAATCAAACGGTAATTAATCAGGCTACATTACACTTTAGACAGTGGTTTAAGGGGAAAAAAAATAGGAATCTTAATCAAGATATTCAGAAGAAAAAAAAGGGTGCAATTCGACCAAATCTAGTATTTTCTCAATCAAATCTTCCAAAAAGATCAAATGAAATCCGACAAACAGTTGATTTCTGCCTGATTTGACTCATTATTTGGTTTACAAAAGTTCGGTGGAGTCCGGGCCGGCCATCTGATTTCACTTGTTAGTCTAGGGATGATGGATCCTTAGCAACCAGAGCATTAAACTTCAGCAACATAAATATATCAAGGAGTATACCTTGATTTTTGCGAAGAGACACTACTGAGCGTGTATATTATGCATTCATATCTTTTTTAATCTTATAAAAAGAAAAGCCTTTCTGATCGATCGCATGCGCTTCCTCCACGGTTGAGTTGGCTCACCATTTCTGCATTCACTTCCTGCCTGTGCTTCTATCAAATTCCCATCTTCCTTCCTAACAACAACAGTCCCTCATTCTATTCTCCTCTTCTGCATGTTCAAAGTTGCATTAGTATTCAGCGTAGTTCCCCTTATCTCCTTCTTTGTCACCCATTTATCTCCTTCTTTGTCATAACTCCCCTTACTTTCCTCATGGATTCTTCCTTCTTAGTTGCTTCATTGCATTCCAACCACTCTTGCGTTGCTTTATTTATATATAGTCATTCCTGGACAGTTCTCCTCTTTACTGAATTGAATCTGGTTTCCGGACTTCCAAACTTACCAATGCCTTGGAAGTCCGGAAGCAAAATATCCTGAAATTGCTCAATAAATATCCTGAAATTGCTTAATTATTGTAATTTTGTTTTGAAGGCTCGTGCAAGGAAGGAAAAAAAAAAAAGAAGAGAAAGAAAAAGCAAAAAAAATGGAAATTCAAAGAAAAAAGCAGAAAACTATAGGCTATAGGTGTTAACTCGACTTCTTGATATGGGTTGCATGGTTGGTTTTGACTCAATTTCTTGACATTGATTACGATTCCATCGCTCTAGGGACCGATTTCTCTACCTTCCTGTAGGCTGTAGGAGGATACAAATGACATAGTGGGGACTAAAGTATTTGCATAAAGTGTTTCCTGAAAGAAAAAAATAAATTGTTCCTCTCATAAAACAAGAGTTTTGTTCACCATAATTTCTACAACACCGAGAACGAATACTACGAAATATAACATCAAACATATTTTACAAAGCTTTCAAAAAATGACGGTGCAAATTTTGGTTTAATATACAAATTTAGTAAACTTACACACAAAAATCGGACATTAATAATACGAATATATTTAAAATTATGGAACTAAAATTTTTTAACTATTGCTAAGTTTTGCTAAACATTTTATTCTTTTGTTACTATTGCTTTAGGTACATTGGTCTTGCATAGTCTCCAAAAAAGATTTCTCACTCAACTTTTGTATAGCTCTATAGAAATTTTGTACAATAACTTAATAGTTTGGAGACTTTCATTCATTCCTATGTTTTAGAGGAGGTAAATTAGACATACATTAACATGAATTTAACAGGATAGTTAGTAAAATCTCATATTACATGCGTTGTAAGTAGATTAAAAAAAAATACTCATAATACGTACACATTCATATATTTATCAAACACTCACAATAAATTTTTTGGTATTATACTCGATCCATTTAGTATACTTCAGCATATCACAAATTTTGATAATCTTTATTAAAATAGATATGTGCTTTATACATTATGTGAAAAATAAAAAGATTTATGTCGTACTCTTTTTGCATATATATAAATACGACATCAAAAAATACAATAGCAATCCTATATAGTCCCAAGTAAGAGCTCGTTTGAATTACATTTTTTAGGGACTTTTTGGAGAAAGATTACTAAGTACATTTAAGGACGTAATATATATATATATGATAAAAAAAATGATCGGAAGATATATAATAGAAATATTCATAAAAAAACAAAAAAAAAATCTTCAGAAGTTGCTGCCTAAACTTTAAATAATTGCGGCGAGGACAAGGCGTCGTAGTATCAACTTTTGGATTTCTTGTGTTAAACTATCTAATATTTTTGATAATCCTCCAAACGAAAAAAAATGGTGTTGTGTTACTATAATATCTATCAACATAGGAGAACTTTTTTTTTTTTATATTTTCTTTTTATCATTTTTAAATTTTAAATTAGTCTAGATAGAGCTCACAAATTACAACTTGCTTTTGTCTTTTTCTTTTTTCATTTTTAAATGTTTAATTTGTTTTAGAGTCTCACAAATTAGACACTTATTTCCAGAGCTCCAAAATTTGTCAAGCCATGTTGGGAAAGAGCATCAGCAGCAAAACTGCTTTTCTTGATCACGTATTCTGAATGACAATTCCAGACCATTATATTTGACACTCTCCGATGTTGATAACAAAACCTATTAGAAAATTTCCTCTGTGATCTCAAAAAATGTCCCCATCTACCTAGTAATCATCCATGGGAATGATAGCACCGCCTGTACTAATAAGAAGGCACCAGTTATATAGGGAAGAGGGATTTGTCCAATCCAGATTGACGTCATTGGAGATTTTGCTCGTCGATTATTTGCTCGTCAATTCGTGTTCTGAAGTCCAGAGTCACCCCAATCTAGGCCCAAACTGCATGAGGCCTGGCTTTCTGAAGTCCAGAGTCACCACCGCAATTTAGTCCATTGCAGACTAGTACCTATTTACCAATCTCGGCATGACTCAGAATACAGAACTTTTTGAAGACAAGATGTCTGGAACTTACTTCATACCCAACACATTCGAAAAAATCTTTCCAGGTGAGTCTTGCAAGGCCCAAAGCAATTGTTTACAAATCTGGTAATATTTTCTAGTGTCTTGGCACTCTTAGAACAACAAACAATATGCAGCCTTAAACTTTGCCATTTAACTTTAGTAATCTGGTAATATTGCAACATATCTTGCAATAACAAAATTGTCAGTTTTTTCTTTCACTTTATGTAATTTCCAAGGAAAATACTTATATGTAATTTCCATCAAAAAGCATAAAATCGTCGGTGCATTTATGGTTTTTTTTTTTTTTTTTCAAAATAGTGAAGATGAAATAGTTGGCCTTAATGTGCAGAAGAATTCTTTCTTGGCCTTAATGAAACTTTCCTCCGGACGTTCCTCGCCTCTGGTTTTTCATCATTGAGACAACAGTGAGGTAATCCATGATGAGCTGATAAACAGAAGAACTCCGGACGTAAATCAGTTGGGCTTGTAACTCTTTATGCATTTTTTTAATTAAAATAAGATGGATAGCATCTAAAAAAATGCACTTACCTCAAGGCTCTATGCGCAAATTTACTCCATATCCTATGTTTCCCATAATTTTGTCCATTTTATTGGAAACAACGCAATCACCCGCAAGCTCAAACTTGGGGAGCTCGCCGCTTGCCATTGCTGCTGCCAAAGAGCCGCATTCATCACCTAAGCATCTGCAACAAGCCTCAAATCTCCAGCGAAGTCGCTCTAAATTTTTCAATCTGTCATCTATAATAAGTTGTGCTTTTTTTTTTTGTTTCCTTTATGCGAAATGTATTCGAGTATGTTTGAGTGGGGACTTGGCTAAAAGTTGTGTTGGTCGCAATTTGCGCCTTAGCACGCCAACTGTTTGATGAACTTGCCCGTCGACAGGTCAGTTGCTGGCTATCTCGCCCGCCCCTGCTGCCTTACCCTGGTCCCCCAGTGCGGGGGCACCTTTCTTTTTCCTTTATCTCCCCTTTGTCTTTTTTTCCTCCCCTCTTAGCACCTTTGGGATTAGAAAAACTATTATCACCACTACTAGTGCTAATAGTATATTATTATTAGGAAAAACTAATTACTAATAATTTAACCCAACATAACATGAAAAAAATAGATATATTGAAAATATTAATTATATTTAATTAATTAATATGAGGGATAGAGCAGGGCTTCTTGTACCATTTAAGTGCCCACCCCACCCTTCGCCTCATCACTTCCCTCAGCAAGGCAAATGTCAACTCCAATTGTCATCTTTAAACCAATAAATACATTATTATTGTTCTGTCTGAATTAAGTGGCCCCAGTCTGAAGATATTTTACTATTTTTTATTTTCCTTTGGGGAGGGGGTTGGGGACTTTTGGTTGTCTTGATTATGTAGCAATATTTTGTGTTTCAACTATATTCTTACTTCACCCTCCTGCATGATGTCTAGAGAACAAGTAGTTAATAGAGTGGTGCTGCACCACCCTTGCTATTTATTTACGACATGGGTTCAGAAAAGTGTTAAAGCTGACATTGGTGGTACAGAAATACCTACGATAACTTAACCGACCCTTACTTGGTCTAGAAGAGCGAAGTTGCTTAATTTATACGATAATTGGCTTGTTACCATAATAGAAACTTGCACAAGTGAAGACAGTGAGCTTGATTTCATTCCTCCTCCAATTTTGGACTTGCTAAATAAGAGAAGAAAGGCATTCAGACTTAGAAAGTGTCAATAATGTTAAAAACAAGCCAAAAAGAGCCATTTCTTTACAAACCCCCCCAAATCTTTTCCACTAGATACAGATAACCAAAATTATACTCTCTCTCAGGTAAGCATTTGTACAGAGGAGCCCAGGTGAACAGACTGATGCTGGCATCCTTTTACCAGGTTAGAATAATCTACAGCTGATGTCGCCATCATCATCGGAATTCCAGCATTATTCAGTGGCCTATTATTTGCAGTTTGCTCCAGGGATTGCACTTGCTTTTTTAAAAACTTAAGGTAATGGGCCGCCTCGTCCAACATAGAAGCCGTGTCCATTTTAGTCCCTCCTGGAACAAGTCTCTGCAGAATTCTGATCTTCTCACTAATCCGTTCCCTCCGGTGCCTAGCTGCCACACTTTGAGGGTCCTTGGATATCTTCACATTCTTTCTTCTTGGTGGCTTTACCGATTCAGGGTCAATGTGAATCGGCTGCATCATTGCTATGCGGAAAATCATTTCTCTCATCGCATCCATGGAGCTTCTTTTCTGTAATGGATTCGACAATGACGATCCATTTGCAGGCGTAAATTCTGGAACTCCTACAGTAGCAATGCCGCCTGAATCTCGAACAGGGTTGCCCGCGAGTGAGATGAACGATGTTGAAGCAACAATATATGGATTTAGAAATATTGGATCAGTACTTGTGGCACTTTTACTAGATGATCCGAGTTCCGGTGGCTCGGAAATACCATACAGATAATTAGTAGTCGCAGAAGACTGGTAGAACTTGCCAAGGTGCATCCCCGTTGTTGGTGATCCTAATTGATTTTGTGAAGCTGATTTGAGGAGCTCTATCTTCATGCCTGTTGCGATCCTCAAGCTCGAGAGGGGGAGAGAAATGTTTGCTTTGGGTTTGGAATCAGGAAAGGAGGCAGGAGGATGGGAGAGCTACATAGATAGCCTCGTGTAGACACTAACATGCATTACCACACTGGTAAATTACATGAAGCTGGCTGGCCTGCAGTATATATAGCTGGAATGAGATATGTGGTAGTGTATATACATTAAAATACATTATCTTTCGATATGATATATTTTGGTGTCACCAAATCTTGATGATATTTATTCTCTTAAGCCTTTGTTTATTCTATCTTCTGACATTCTTTGTATATCATCAGACAACAATGATTTATGGATTTTGCGGGTAGAATTGTATAATTGCACTAATTTATAGCACACATTATTGCTGATATTTCCGGACCTAATGAGCGAAACGTATACATATTTGTACATGCCCTTTGATTGTGAAGTTCTTTGTTAAACAGAAACTCATGATTCATGATTAGATCAGCAGCATTGAAGTAATAATAATATGATTCAACATGTCGGCATCCAAAAAAGGAATTAAGTCCGAAGTTAAGGTTGATCCACCTTGATGATGGTCTGATTTTCTTCGTTGTAAGAAATCATTGCTGATATTTTACATGTTTTATCGCCTCAATTAAAAATAGTTTATATGAGTGGTTTAAGATTTATGACACGAAATTCCTATCGCCTTTGAGATCTTATTTTTTGCATATGTTACATTTATTTAGATTGGCTCATATAAAGAATTATTATTGACACTACCAGTGTCGCAAACATATTTGTAATTGTAGGTATTTGCAGGCAAAAGTGTTATTTACAAAAAAAAAAAAAAAAAAAAAAAAAAATTCTGGTAGAGTTAAAGTCTTTATGCTCAATTCAGCAAGATGCCAATGTGAACTTTGAATTCCATTTTTTTCAATCTTAACTGTTGTTTTTTTTTTTCTTTGGGAAATGGAGGTTGTCACAACAATAAGTACTACTATATATGTTTATCTATTAACAACTCTTAGTAAGAAAAAAAAATTTTTTTGGGGGTCATTTGCTTGAAGAAATTATTTAGAAATCATATCATGGAATGATCGTGTTCAAAAAAAAAATTTTTTTTTTTAAATTTGCTGACCGAACCTGTCAACATTAATAGAATGTGATAGAACAGTAGGCCCATCGATGGAGGCATATATTATTGTAGTAATATGAGGTTTAGCAATGATAGCATTATCAGACAAAATATCTCTTGTTTCCTAATTCTTTAATACATATTTTAGGTACATCGGCAAATTTCTTTTGCGTATTTGATTCCGATGGGGACTGTGGTGGAGGGAAGAGGCATGGCAATATTATGGCAGTGGGGGTCGTTGGACTCAAGGTCAAGGTGCATGAACCAAAACTACTGATTCGAATTTTCATTGAGTTTCAATCGTAGCTTGTTGCAGGAACAGATCTTCCTTCACCTGTTTCATTCCTGATTTGCTTCCAAAAAAAAAAAATAATAATAACAATGATGATGATAAAGGAAGAGCCCCCATTGTCACGTGACATCCGTCAGAAGATAACAGCTCCAAAATTCAGAAGCAGTGGGGGTGCCCACTGCCCAGCCCCAACCCCCAGAAAAATGTCAAAAAAAAATGTTCGTATCACCACGCACCTTTACTTCATCAACTCAAAGAGGGGTACTCCACACCACTTGGAATTACTGCACATCGGATCTCATCCCCCTCGTAACAACTAAAACAACGCAGCAGTATACAAGTACAAGCCCACGGGGTGACTGCTTCATTGGCACGCGTCGCGAGGAGGTGGATTAGGATTAAGTGTAGCAAGAAAGAATGAGAGATCAAAGATAGTACTCGGAGTATACAGTCACGCTGCCGGCCGGAGCAGTAATGACCGAATGTGCTCATGCCCTGCACCAAATGAAATATGTCAGCCGCGGATGATGATAACGTTTTGCACGCTAAATGTGAAAAAAAAAAAAAAAAATCTAATTTGACGATCGAAAGGGTCCGTCTCATGAGACAAAAGTAAGAACGGACAGCAAAAAGGATTGAGCACTCAGTGTTTGATCAACGCTCGTCAGTCTGCTGAGCAGAAACATTCACTCACACCTCTGAAACAGAAATTTGAGCAACTAGTACTCTGAAGAGGTTATTTTTGACCTGAAGAGGTGGCTCGGAGGTCAAGGGAGTTTCTGCTCGAAGGGGTCATCACACCGGGATCACCTGCTTAATAGTTGTAAGAGACGGGACTAAGTTTTTCGATTAATCTCCGAAGATTAAGTTAGTCCGGGATGAGATATTTGAGAGAGGTGCAGGGAAAGTAAGATTGTGTTACCAGAGATCCCTCCCTCTTCTCAGTGGGGTATCCTACTATTTATAGAGGACAATTTGGAGGGAAAGACAATAGAGTCCAGTTCCCTAGACATTAGATTAAGACAGCAGATCCCTTGACTTGACCACTCTAGGCGGCCAATGTGTCAGACCAGTGGTCAGTGTGTCAAATGTCATATCCATAGCTTGTCAGTTGTCAAATCGTAGGCTGCGGTGGCAGTTGGGGGTCACTTCATCAATCCATTCCGGGGTGACGACAGAGACCTAGGCCACTTCGGCCCACAAGGTGTTTATGATAACCGAGATGACATAAGGAACCCGAGATGAATCTTATGATAAGAGGGGTCATTCAAGAATTCCATTTATGATCATCCCGAGCCGGAGTGGTCATCCTCAATAAGCCCCCCCAAGCCTTGGGAAGAAGTAGCTTACTCGTCCATTCCTGAGGCTTTTGAGTGGCGTCGGGGCACAAACCGTGATGATAACAGGTCGCGTGCATGTATAGTTAAAGGGAAGATGATGAGACAGTTGACAACGTTAATGACAGGTCTCTGAACGAACGTACACCCGGAGCCTTCTCATTTTTCACAGAGCAAACCATCATCATTTTTTCACCTCGACAAATCTCGATATCTCGACAGCCCTCAAGAGTAAGTTTACTACTCCTTTCTTTCTCTAATCATAGCTAAAATAGCTCGCACACATAGGGAAACTGCAGGTCCGAACTTCAGCGAAGCAGAGAGGTCTGGCCCATCCGAAGAGGAGGTGAGTACGTCTTCCCGTCCGGATCTCTCGATGGTGGATTTTAGCCAACTCCCGAACTTCAACAGTGTAATTGGTCAGGTTCAGGCGGCCGAAGTCATCCGCAAATATTCCTTCGGTCGGAACTATAGTATCTACCACCCTCGGCTTGATCAGACAGCCGAAAGGCCTCCTAAGGGGAGATCGGCAATCTACCTCGATCAATTGGAAGCCGGACTAAAAATGCCAACCACCAGATTTTTTCAGGACGTGCTGAGATACTGGGGGTGAGGATAACCCAGATAGTCCCAAACGCAATTCGAATCATCATTGGATTCAAACTGCTTTGTCGAGCTCAAAAGCTGACTCCAACAGCCAATCTATTCCGTTGCTGTTATGCAATCAAGAACAGCAGAAACGAGAAGAAGTGGTTTTACTTTGGCAACAGGAATGCCAACGTGCCGAAACTAGTTGTAGATGCTCCCTCCTCGATAAAAGAGTGGAAGCATAATTTTGTCTTCATTCCTGTCGAGGACTTCCCTAGGAGTTTCTGATGGATGCCACCCATTACGACCAAGGATTCTTCCCTGGGGGATGTAAAAGAAGAAAATTTCCAAAAAGTCCTCGGGTCAGGTTTTCGGATTAATAGCTGAGCCTACCCTGAGGCAATACTGGTCAAAAGCGGGATCAGCTGAGCTCTCATCAGTCCGGGTCGCCCTCCATATTTCTCCACTAGACTCCAAAAACCTCGTATTCTTCAATTCATACTTTGTGCTTTTAGTTTTCCTGCAATTCTGAGTAGTAATACTCCCTTTTATGTAGTGACGAAGATTTTCGACCGAGGTAGCCAAAAGACCGGCTAAGAGGAAGGAGGCGGCCGAGTCGTCCACTGCTCAGTCGAAGAAAAAGAAGAGCCCCGCGGCCGTCACGACCCGCTCCATCCCAATCATCATCTGCAAAGGGGCCTCCCCTGGCCCAAACATTCCCCAGGGGCTTATAACCCGAAGTGTGACGGTGGCAACCTTACCACCGGGCCGAGGGAAGGGTATCTCGGCAATCGAGGTTCCTGTCAGTGGGTCCTCCTTGTGGAATCTCCACCACGTGATGTCTCAGGAAGCCAGAGAGGATAAGAGGTACCATGGCGCGCATTGGTGCTCGGAGTGGAAGGTCAATGTCAACGACCAATGTAGGAATCCTGTGGTAGCCCACAATCTGTTGGTACACTCCGTCTTGCCGAGGGACCATGCCTACATCAGGAAATTAACGCCCCAGGAGCTGATGAAAAGTGCCTCCGTGGCATAGGCTTCCACCGCGGCTTTTGTCCCGGAGATATCTCAGCGATACACCTAACTCTCTAAGAACCATCAGCCCTCGGTTGAGGTCCAAAACAGGATCTCCTTGCTGGAGAAGAAGTTGAAGATAGCCAAGAAGGATCGCGACAAGGCCAGAACCGAACTGGAGCAATTCGAGACAACTACCAACTCTCTAAGGACGGCTCTGGATGATGAGAAAAATCGACGAACCCAAGAAGAGCAATCATCTCGGAAGGCTATCGAGAAGGCCGGTACCTCGGCGTTGGAGGCATTTCACAAGTCAGAGGCCTTCATTCGTGATCTCGGGGAGCTGACCTTGCCGAACTATATGTTCAGATATACCTCGGCCATTAACAAAGTCGCACCTCTCTTTTCTCCTGAAGAGTTGGATTCCTTCAAGGAGAAGGCCAACTACAATAAAGATGCTAAGGAGCTCTGTGACCGCATAGCCGAGAGCATCCAAATCGGTAGGGACTTGATTGAGATTCGGAAGAAATTCAACTGATGGCTATCGGAGTTTGAGCTCACCCTCGAAAGAGCCGAGGCGGAGGGGATCGAGGCCAATGGAACCGAAGCGAAGGGTACTACCGAGCTAAGAGAGTGTGAAGAAATGGAAGGGACCGAGGCAGGGGCACTTAGAAGCGCCCTTGACCTCAGCCTTTTGTACTTGTATTTTTTCTGATTTCCATCAATGAAATTGTTCTTTCAATCATCTCATCCTCTATTTTGTTGATTTCTTATTCTAGTGGCTTCATATCTTTTATACTTGTCCTTTTTTCTCCTTTTCTTCTCGTGTTTATCCCCTTATTTTTTCTTGGAATAGAAGATAATCAAGGAAAAAATAACTTGCACAACAAAATGCTAATACATTGAACACCCTTCAGGGGTGGTACAGTTTGAGATTCTCAACGTGCCGAATTCGGGGTATCCGAGAACCATCCCGATAAGTTAATTTACAATATTCATTTTGACTAAACTCAATAACACGGTAGGGTCATTCCCATTTGGGAGTTAGTTTGCCTTAAGGTTCAGTTCGACTAACCGATTTTTTTCGGAATACAAGGTCTCTCGGACTGAACCGTAGGTGTCTGACCCGGGCATTACAGTAACTAGTTAGGATATTTTTATATAGTACGACCTTCGCTGCCGCGGTGTCGCGTTTCTCCTCGGTGAGGTCGAGGTCCACCCGTCTTTCTTCTCCGTTGGCTTTGGCTGTAAAGCCACCATGCGAGGGCTCGGGGTAATGAACTCGAACGGAACTACCGTTTCGAATCCATAGGTTAAAGAGAATAGGATCTCTTGGGTTGCGAATCTCGGGATGGTTTGGTACAACCACAACACACTGGAGAGTTCGTCCACCCAATATAATTCAGCTTGATACAGCTTAGTTTTGAAACCATTGAGGAATGTGCGATTGAAATTCTCGACCTGTCCATTAGTTTAGGGGTGTCCCACCGAAGTAAAGTGTTGTTTGATGCTGAGATTTTCGAACCATCCTTTAAAAGGGTTATCCGCGAACTATTTTCCATTATTTGAGATGACCACCTGCGGTAATCCGAAGCTGCAGACCACATTCTTTTAGAAGAACTTTTAAACTACTGAACTAATTATGCTCCTCAGGAGCTCGGCTTCCACTCATTTGATGAAATAATCTATCGTCACTACCAGGTAGATATGATTACCTGGGGCTCTACGAAATGGACCAATTATGTCAGTACCCCACTGTTCAAAGGGCCAGGACGAGGTGATAGGAATCATGAGGTTAGTTGGCTGGTGGTGTTCAGGAGCATGATGTTGGCATGAAGAGCAGCCAAGAACCAGGAGTTGGGCATCTCGGCGAATTGTAGGCCAGAAGTACCCGAGCAATAAAACCTTTTTTACTAGCATCTGATAGCCGACGTGAGCACCACAAAACCCCTCGTGTATGTCTTGAAAAATTCTCTCTCCCTCGTTTGGTGTGACGCACCGCATCTACGGGCCGAGATAAGATCTCTTGTATAGGAGGTCGCTCCGGATAGCGTACCTGGCCGCTTTATTTCTAAGTTTTCTCGTTTCGACTCGATCTTCTGGAAACTCTCCCTGACTGAGGAACCAAATCAGCGGGTTCATCCAGGTGTCCCATGGATAAACGGGATACACGATTTTTTCTACATAGTCTGGTTCGGCCAAGACTTTAACAAAGACCGTTTTATTCAGGTCGGAGAAAGAGATAGAGGCGAGCCGAGATAAGGCGTCAGCCCTTTTGTTCTGCGATCGAGATATCTTTAGAATTTCAAAAGACTCGAAGTATGCTGTTACTGGTGGACCTTGAAGAGGTAGCGTCGCATAATCTCTCCCCTGGCCTCGTACTCACCAAGTATTTGGCATACAACGAGTTATGAGCCACTATTGATTAAGATGTGTCAAGCGCCGAACCTATGAGCTAACTGTAGGCCGGTGATGACCGCTTCGTATTCGGTTTCATTATTAGAGAATGTGAAGTCAAACCGCAAGGCGTACGAACACAGCTCCCCTTGTGGGTCTTCGAGGAGCAAACCGACTCCACTACCCTCACTGTTAGATGAGCCGTCCACGTGCAAGACCCATCGTTGGGGCTCGAAAAAAATTGAGGTGGTCTCTTTCTCCTCACTAAAAGTGAGGTCGGCCAGAAAATCCATAAGGGCCTGAGTTTTGATGGCCGTCCGGGGCTTATAGGACAAATCATATTCTCCCAACTCAATAGCCCACTTAGTAAGACGATCAGAAGTTTTGGAGCACGACAAAACCTACCTGAGGGGTTGATCTGTCCTCAAGTAGATGTGGTGAGCCAAGAAATAGGGCTTTAACCTACGGGCTGCATGAATCAAGATAAGGACAAGTTTTTCCGTCTGAGTATACCTGGCCTCGTGCCTTCGAAGGACCCGACTGATATAATAAATCGGTATTTGGATACCCTCCTCCCATATCAGCGCGGCGCTTACCACCTCATATGTGACAAACAAGTACAAGTACAACTTGACCCCAAGCTAAGGTAAGATGAGGGTTGGGAGGTGGTGGAGATACTTTTTCATTTGTTCGAAGGCCTGTTGGCATTCTTCCGTCCAGAAAAATTGGTCCGCTTTCTTCAAGACTTTGAAGAAGGATAGTACTTTAGAAGCGAATTGCGATAAAAATCGGTTGAGGCCTGCTAGTCGCCTTATCAGCTTTTGCACGTCTCGGGTAGGGGTGGCAATTTCTGATACGACTCGAAAACACGACACGAATCTAACACGAAATTAATGGGTTTAAGTTAAGATTTTGGGGGTCTGGGTCAGAATCGGGTCGAACCTGATGAACTCGAAAAGAAAACAGGTTAATTTTGGATCAACTCATGGTGACCTAATATGATCCGATATGACCCGTTTATGAATTAAAAATAATTTAATAAATATAAAAATTATTTTATCTAACTAAATTAAATCATTCTTTTTTTCAAAGGCATCAATCACTTAATCCTAAATGAATTTATTTAACTTGTGTGATGCTGAAATTATTATAGTTGAACAAATAATATATTATATTCTTTTTTCTTTTATGCTATTTTAATTTATTTTAAATTTGGTTTGAAATTATTTATTTAAATTTTTATTACTTGATGATGTAATTAATTTTGTTAGAAATTGATTTTATTAGAAATTATAGTGATAAATTAATAAATTAAAATTAATTTTGGGTCATTTTGGGTCGATCCGTCAACCCGAAATTTTCGGGTTCGTCTCAGGTATCCTGACCCATTTCGGGTTGGCGGGTCAGATTCGGGTCAGCGAGTTTTCTATTATATTTGGACCTCAATCCGACCCGCAAATCCGAACTCGATCCAATTGCCACCCCGAGTCTCGGGTGCACCGAAGTGGAGACATTTGTTGAATTACTTTCATCTTGTCAGAATTTGTTTCTATACGTCGGCGTGATACGAGGTACCCCAAGAACTTTTTCGAAATAATCCCAAAAATATATTTCTTGGGGTTCAACATCATCCGGGTATCACGGAGGATCTCAAGGATCTCTTTTAGGTCGGATAGTAGAGTTGAGATCTCCTTGCTTTTGAGGAGGATGTCGTCCACGTATGCTTCAACATTTCGACCTATCTGAGACTTAAAAGCCCAGTTGACCAGGATCTAATACGTGGCTCTGGCGTTCTTCAACCCGAAGGGTATGGTGGTATAGCAGTACACACCTTGATCTGTGTAGAAGGCCATTTTCTCTTGATCCTCCTCGCTCATCTCGATCTGATGATACCCTTTGAAGGTATCAAGAAAATAGAGGATTTCGTAACCCATTGTCGAATCCACTTGAGCGTCGACTCTAGGCAATAGGTAACAGTCATTGGGGCAGGCCTTGTTCAGGCCGGTGAAGTCGATGCACATTCTCCAGACTCCCGTGTCTTTTTTTACCATGACCGGGTTGGATAATCAGATCGGATATTGCACGTCCTTGATTATCTTTGCAGGTAGGAGTTTGTCTACTTCCTCACCTACTGTTTTACTGCGCTTTGGGCTGAGGTGCCTTTTTTTCTGTTGGACGGGGCGTGGTTGAGGATCGACATTCAGCTTATGTATCATGAGGTGATGTGGCATGTCTTGGACCTCATCGGCGACCCAAGCAAAAACGTCTCGATACTCCCTTAGTAAATCCACCATCTGTCCTTTGAGTGGGTCGGGCAAATGAGTGCTAATGCGGACTGTCTGATCGAGTTTTAAGAGGTCCAAGGGAATATCCTCTAACTCATCTCCGGTCTCAAGCTTCTTTGGCTGCTCGATTTGCCGAGGGTCGAAACAATCAATTGAGAGGATATTGGACCTTCTTTTGAAGTGTGGCAACAATAGATGCGGCTTGAAGTGTAGCGAGGTAGCATTCTCGCACAGCACAGACAAATGATACGTGGAATATACCGCCCGTAGAGCATTCAACGTAGGTCGGCCCATTAACATGTTATAAGGAGAACCAGTTTTGACTATGACAAAGTTGACAAGGACGGTTCGGAAGCAGGGATGACGTCCTTGAAAGTGGGGATGACGGCTCGAAAGAGGTTAGCACAGCATGACCCCGGTTAGCTTGCCTGTAGGTCCTCTTCCGAGAGTTTTGACTATCTCCTCCCGTCAGACCTCCAGCAATGGTGTTGATGACACCAGTAATGGGGGACCCATAACCTAACCCAGGACCTGAAAACCCATCTCGGGGAGGCCTTCTCGCCTCCATAGGATTCTCAGTGGGTCGGCAGCTACTCCTCGACCCCCGACGATTATCTCGGCACTGATCACGACGAGGATCGTCCATTTGATGACTTTCATCTCGGCGGATGAACTGTTTCAGGTGCTCCTATTTGATGAGGTGTTCTATCTCTCTTTTGAGATCGTTATAGTCTTTCGTCTCGTTCCCAATGTTTCGGTGATACAGGCAGTAGAGGTTGGAATTCCTCTTCTCTCTGTTTCCGTACATCTTCAGAGGAGCACGTCCAAAGTTGTTCTGCTCCATCACAGAGAGCACTCGAGATCGACTGATGTTTAGAGGAGTCAGCTTGGAATCGGGAATAGGCGCCTTCCCCTTGACTATCCTATCAAACACACTCCGGCGATCTCGGCTGAGACTTTGGAAGCTGCCAGCAATGCCGACCTCATTTCGGCTAGTTTCATTCTTCTTTCGGGAATCATTTCCCGAACGGACTGCTTGGACCTCCTTCTTTATGCGGTTGAGGTCTTTGATTTGAATGCCTTTTTCGACCTTCAACCAGAGCTCCTGGAGCGTGCAGGGATACTTCTTGTGTATCCCGGTGTTGAACACCTCGGCAACAAGCCCGTGGGTAAAAGCAGCTATTGTTACCTGCTCATTGAGATCAGGTATCTGAACACTCTTCTCGTGGAATCTTTGTACATAAGACCGAAGTGATTCTCCCGAATTTTGTTGTATATTCAGCAGATAAATCGAGGTCCTGGTCATAGGTCTGGAGGATACAAATCGGTGGAGAAATCTCTTCACTAGTTCCCCCAGGTTGGATATGCTCCTAAATTCTAATCCCCAAAACCATTTTCGAGCAGTTCCCTGGAGAAATACCGGAAATGTCCGATAGATAATTGGATCGGGAATGCAATATAGTCGGAAAGCCGAGATGAAAGCGTGAATATGATTTTTAGAATCAACTCGGCCATCATAATTCGGTATAATGGGTAGTTTAAAGTTTGGAGGGAGTCTTTTCTCATTGATATCATATGTGAAAGGCGGAGTCCTCATATAATCTACTTCTGACCTCCTATGGTGCCAAGACTCTTCCTCGACTCGTCTTCCTAATAGCCCCCTTGAGAAAGCCTTGGAGAGGGAAGCTATTTTAGAAATAGTTCTAAACACGGCTCGCTTTGACGAGCTCCTGGCCAAGTATCTCCGATCGGATTCCTCATCGGACGAAACCTCGGGAGACTTATCTGACTTCCTTTTAGAAGATTCAACCTTCTTTTTGCCTTGTCTCTTGAAATGTCTTTCCAATTCTTCAAAGATACTTGGATTTTCAGCGACAAACTCGGCCATTTTAGTCATGGCTTCTTCGTTTGCCGGCTAAGCTCCTTGAGACCCTTGTCCCTCAGACATATTTTTTTCTGGGACCTGAGCACTTGACTCGACCTCAATGGTGAGAACCTTTCTGCTCCTAGAACGCGTGGGCCTCGTTCTCGGATGTCTTCGTTTCCACAGACGGCACCAATTAAAGAGGTTATTTTTGACCTGACGAGGTGGCTCGAAGGTCAATGGAGTTCTTGCTCGAAGGGGTCATCACATCGGGATCACCTGCTTAATAGTTTTAAGAGACGGGAGTAAGTTCCCCAGTTTATCTCCGAAAATTAAGTTAGTCCGGGGTGAGATATTTGAGAGAGGTGTAGGGAAAGTAAGATTGTGTTACCAGAGATCCCTCTCTCTTCTTAGTGGGGTATCCTGCTATTTATAGATGACAATTTGGAGGGAAGGACAATAAGGTCCAGTTCCCTAGACATTGGATTAAGACAGCACATCCCTTGACTTGACCATTCTAGGCGGCCAGTGTGTCAGATGTCATATCCACAGCTTGTCAGTTGTCAAATCATAGGTTGCGGTGGCAGTGGGGGGTCACTTCATCAATCCATTTCGGGATGACGACAGAGACCTAGGCCACTTCGGCCCACAAGGTGTTCATGGTAACCGAGATAACATAAGGAACTCGAGATGAATCTTATGATAAGAGGGGTCATTCAAGAATTCCATTTATGATCATCCCAAGCCGGGTGGCCATTCTCATACTCAAAAAAGTGTTTTCAATTTCGGCCACACTCAAAAGAGTAGAAAATAATACTCCATAATAATAATAAAGGCCTCTTCACCAAAATGGCCGATCATAACTTCCATCTCATCTTTGGCTGTGCCATGTGATTAGCATTAACTCGTTCGTTTTTCTATGACATTTATGTGCACTTTGAAAAATTTACTACTACTTAACTTGCTTCCCTACCTTTTTTTTTTTCTTCTTAGAAAAAGACGAAGCCAACGCTCAAGACTAAGGCTGTAGTGAAACTGAGACTAGTAGCCTCACAACCAGGCTCAAGAGTATATAAAGAATTGTTTGAACTCTGTTTAATTAGTTTTTTAATGCACCAAAAAAGGAAAAGGGAAGAAGAATTCTTAGCACTGCTCTTTTATCTACTGGGTGCTTTCTCCTCCGTCTCAATCTCAAAAGCTCGTGGTAAAGACTATGTTTGGGCCGATACAAAATGGAGTGGGCTCATCGAAGGCATTCTCTCGTGGACTTGACTGGTTAATCCCAATCTAACATGGATCCCAATACATTCGTAATTGTTTATCACTTTCCGTTGCAGATATTTACCTATATCTTCTTTTTTTTTTATTTCTGAATGGACTAGGGCTGCAAACGAATTGAGCCGCTCGCGAGCGGCTCAAGTTCAAAATATTAAGTTTGTTAGCTCGCGAGCTGGCTCGCGAGTTTGAGTATATATATATATATTTTTTATTTTTATTTAATAATAAAATTATGTATATTATATATATATTTTTTATTTTTTATTTTCATAGTAAAATTACGTATATATCCTTAATATTTTATTATTTATTAAGAAAAAAATTATTTTATTTATTTTTTTAAAAATAAAATAATTATTTTTTTTATATTTTTCGAACTCAAACTCGGCTCAACTTGATTCGAGTCGAGCTCGAGCTCGAAAATTGCTGGCTCGTCGAGCTCGAGCTCGAGTTTGGTAAAATTTAGTCGAAACTCAGCTCGATTAGCTCAAAACTTACAATCTTAAGATGGACAAACTCTGCTCGAGAATCCCCAATGAGCTGCTTGCAAGAATTAAATCCATAGCCTTTGGCTGCCTTTTGCAGTTTTAGCTCACCCTTTTTCTATCTCACTTTTCTGAAGCAAAATAGGCTAGCCTGTTAATCTGTTTACCCGAAGAGTGGGGGATTTTGCAATTTCAATGTTCAGTAGTTCGAACCAAACATCATGCCAAACAAATCACTAAAAAAAAAAAAAAGAAAGGAAATTAGACCCAAAATCGGGCTAAGTACTAGAGAATAACAGATAGGATAAAAACAGAATTTGTAATAACAGATAAGATAAAATCTCATTGTTTTCCTGTTAAAAATAAATAAAAATTAAAAAAAAAAGATAAGTAAAGAAAAGTGAAAATGAATAAGCAGTAGACTAAACGCTAAACAAAAAGCACGCCTTTCCGCAGTCCCAGGCTTGTAGGTGAATTTCAGTAATCATCGAGGGGTAGAAAAGAAGGAAAGCCCCACACTTACCGACAACCCAAACATGGCGGCCTGAATTGATGATTGCGTGGTCGTGGACAGCAGTGTGGCCCAAAGAGCAACACTCATTGATGACTTCACAGCTGTATGCCAACCCCGCAGCCTGCAGTCTCCCACGAAAACACAGACGCAGAGTCACCCGCTGCTGCACCTGCCTGCATGGCGATGATGGCATGTGACTCCTTGTCCCTACACGACCTTCCCCTTTTCTCTGGAATAGCGTAATTTGCTGCTCCTACTTCCCACACAGTGTACTGCCCAAACACAGTCCGAATTCACTCTTCCCTCCTAGATAGAAAATTGTTCGTTCAAAGTTCAACTACCCAACTTTGGCCATGGAGAGCTCCAAATGCTGCTACCTTTGGTTTTGGGCTTGCAGTTTTCTCCTCATCCTCACGTCCAAGTCACTCGTACTTCATAGAGTTTTAGCTCAAGCTGAGGAAGCTGCCACTTTACAGCTCAAAGCTGATTCCTCGGATTGGCCAGCGGCGATGATGTCCCTCTACGACGCTGCGGATGATGTAGTCGGAGACAATGACGACGAGATGGAAATGGACGACGATGCCGTGTCTAGTTCCAGGAGATCGCTGTTTTGGCGGAGAGTGAGGTACTACATTTCATACGCGGCCCTGTCGGCGAATAGGATCCCCTGTCCCCCTCGCTCCGGCAGGTCCTACTACACCCATCACTGCTATTTCGCCAGCGGCCCAGTCCACCCTTATAACCGAGGTTGCTCCGCCATCACCCGTTGCCGCAGATAAACTATTCCCTTCGCCTTTCATCTTGTGTCTGCGTGGTGGTTTCTTTTTATTTGTGCGTCTGCTTATCGTTTGCTTTCTGGTCTAGAAAACTGTCGTCACACACCCCTGTTTTCTTGAGTGCTTTTATATTTTTCTGATCCGTGCCTTCAATTTAAATTATTTGTTAATTTAAAACTGGATAGAATTTGCTGAGTCTTGAGAGGGAGAGACGATCATTTTCGCGGGTAAGCTGCTGATGAATTTATCCTTGCAAGCGCTGCTTATTTTTGCATGCATTCTGGAACAAATTCGTTGTTAGTAATTAGACTCTCAGTTATTAGAGAGATATGGTGCCGTCTGTAGGATACAATTTGCCTTCCTGTTAACTTTAATCTTTCGCGGAATCAGGCAATAAACTGGAAACTGCAAGTTCAGGAAACCTGAGCTTTCAAAGTGAAAAAGTTGCAACCCCATAGTCATGACCGCATGGAATCTTTAGGTCACTAGAAAGTTTTTTGTCTGCTGATTGATTCATACCACATTATCATCTTTTTTATTCTTTGTGAATTTTTTTTTGGTCATCCTATATATTTCGATGTGGACCATGGCCAATTTCCAAATGACCATCTTGATGGCTGGGGGAGGGGGGGGGGGGGTCACCAATTGACCTACCCTTCCTGGTTCCCTCAGCTGCCACCATCAATTCATTCAGTTGTGGAGAAGGGTACGTACCAGTTACTACCGCCGAATAGGAGGGAAGGACTCTTACACACACAACACACACACACACCACACACACACACACACAAAAGAAAAAAAGAAAAAAAAAAAAAAAAAAGGGATTCTGCTCTCTCTTTTGTACCCCAAAATAAGCAAAGGAAAAAATTAATGCCACTGTTAATGGCTTTGTCCCACAACTTGCGATTTTTGAACATATCAGTCAAATCATATAGAAAGGCCATTTCATTGATAGAACATGCAATTAAATCTGAACCGAGAATTATATGTTGCAATTTGTTTGAAGAATTATGCAGTTTCATGTCTCATATAAGTTGTTGCCCAAAAAAAAAAAAAAAAACTGACGAGACTCTGCAAGACAACAAGTGTGTTAGAAGGGCTAAAGCGCAAGATATAGCCTACAGGACGGACGAATTGATGGGTACAGCCTACAGCTTCCCCATTAGTGGAGGAGGCCCGTGAACTAACAACACTTGCACTGTGGCCCATATCTTGATGGGCTCACTCACAATCCATGTGAGCTCCTTCTCCGGACCCGCTAATAATATAAGTAAAATCCTTTTCCGTTCCAAGAAACTGACCGGTATGCCATTACTGACCGCACCGTGTTGGTAGACCACGTGCTCCTCACCTCTCGCATATATTTGGACCGTCCACCGCACGTGTTATTTATTTATTATTATCATTTTTTTTTTGAATAAGTAACTGGTTTGAATCTCATCTAACCCTTGCGATTGTGACTAGGTGACACAACATATTATTAGGATTGAATTTTTTGTGCACTATTACTGTAGAATTCATTTCCTTTTTTTTTTTTAAAAAAAAAATAAATTTAACACTGACTGACTACGTGTCGATGAATGCCACAAATATAAAAAGTAAATTCCAAATTCAATTTGAAAATTACGTAGTAGCATGCATCTAATTTTGTTAGAGTAACGAAATTTTTACGCCGGTAAAACGCAAATTTGGCAAATGGAAGCGATGACTTGTTTTTTTTTTTTTTCTCTATCCTGTATTTTATCACTGGAGTCGGTCGGTCAGCTTTCGATGCCAGCTGCAATAATTTTCGCTGGTGAGGAAAGTTTTCCAAAGCATAATAGTTCTTGGTCGGTCTAAATGAGGAAGCTTCAGAGAATATATATATATAGTACTTATAATAGTTCAAACACAGCACAATACTGCTGAATACACTATACAACAACAGTGAGGCAGCCGAGGACCGAGGTCATCCAACGTGCAAATTGAGAT